AATGGATTGTTGTGCCTTTCTGTTTTGAATGTGTTTTTGGTGTTTTCCACATTTGTGGGTGTATTCTACTTAGCATTGTCGTAGATTTGGTCTCTGTAGCTTGAAATCTTTCCATCAAAAAAGACTGTTATCTGTATCCCATTCCCTTTCACTTCTGCATGTTCTTTATCAAAACATACAGTTGTGCCTCGCTTAACGGATGCTCCGTTTAGCGTCGAAACTGCATACCGATGAATATTTTGCGATCACACAAGCGATCGCATTGCGATGTTTTAAATGGGTTTTTTTTGCTTTGCGATGATCAGTTCCCTGTTTCGCTTACCGATCATCACAAAACGATGATTTTTTAACAGCTGATCTGATTTTTTAACAGCTGATCGGTGGTTCCAAAATGGCCGCCGGGTAAAAAAAATGGCCGCCCACTGTGTTTAGGGATATTTTGCGATCGCACAAGCGATCACATTGCGATGTTTTAAATGGGTTTTTTTTGCTTTGCGATGATCAGTTCCCTGTTTCGCTTACCGATCATCACAAAACGATGATTTTTTAACAGCTGATCTGATTTTTTAACAGCTGATCGGTGGTTCCAAAATGGCCGCCGGGTAAAAAAAATGGCCGCCCACTGTGTTTAGGGATGGATTCCTTGCTTAAGAGGCAGCGAAAATGGCCGCCGTATGGAGGATCTTCGCTTTAAGGTGAGTTTTAAGCCCATAGGAACTTATTAAACAGGTTTTAATGCGTTTCTATGGGCTTTTTAAAATCGCATAGTGACAAAATCGCTTAGCAGCGATTTTTGCTGCATGGATTAACGTCGCTATGCGAGGCGCCACTGTACTTCTTTGAAGAAATATGTTGCTTTTGGCTCTCTTCTATATAATTTTTCACTCTTCTCTTTCTTTTTTTATCCATACCAGATCATAATTCATTAAGTTCATGGTCTGTACCACAGTCTACTCTTGTGATTGTCTTTGTGGGGATAATAGAACATCTCCAACTTCTGCTTCCGGTTATGTAGTCAATTTGATTTCTTTCTGCTGATGTCCATATGTACAATTGCCTGTCTCATTGCCTGAAGCATGCCTTTGCGATAAACAATGTGGGCTTCACAGAAGTCTATGAGTAGCTCTCCTGTTTCATTTCAGACTCCTAGACCAACTTCTCCAACTATGTTTTGCTTTGCTTTTATTTCCTACTTTTCCATTTAAGTCATCCATCATTAGCTGCACATCCTGTTTTGGTATGTGATGAATTTCCTCCTACAGCTTTGCACAAAAGCTTTTAATTTTGTCTCATTCAGCCTCTACAGTGGAACATAAACATGAATGATGGTTTTGTTGCTACGCTTTCTACAAGGAAAGACAAGGGGGGCATGCTCAGGTCTATTTGGCCATATAATTATCTATCCCATCCCCACATTGGTCCAGGTTACATGTAACATGCGTTAGCTGGTCCTCAGTTTCTAACAAAGGATGGCCCCTGCAATAGTGGGTGCTTAGGAATACATATAGACCAGATCTAGCCTTTCCTTAGAGCTACCCATATGGAGGCTCATGACATTATACAGGAGGCAGCAACAAAAACCATCCCAAAGAAAAGGAAATGCAAGAAAGCAAAGGGATTGGCCAAAGAGGCCTTAGAAATAGCAGAGAAGGGAAACAAAATGCAAGGGAGATAGGGAACATTACAGAAAATTGAATGCAGACTTCCAAAGAACAACAAGGAGAGACAAGAGGGCCTTCTTAAATGATCAGTGCAAAGATACAGAGGAAAATAATAGGGAAAAACCAGAGATATGTTCAAGAAAATTGGAGATATTAAAGGAACATTTTGTGCAAAGATGGACAAGGACAAAAATGGGAGGCACCTAACAGAAGCAGAAGACATCAAGAAGAGGTAGCAAAAATACACAAAAGAATTATACCAGAAAAATCTGGATATCCCGGGCATCCCAGATAGTGTGGTTGCTGACTTTGAGCAAGGCATCCTGGAGAGTGAAGTTAGGTGGGCCTTAGAAAGCATGGCTAACAACAAGGCCAGTGGAGGTGATGACATTCCAGTTGAACTATTTAAAATCTTAAAAGATGATGCTGTTAGGGTGCTACATTCAATATGCCTTCAAGTTTGGAAAACTCAGCAGTGGCAGGAGGATTGGAAAAGATCAGTCTACATCCCAATCCCAAAGAAGGGCAGTGACAAAGAATGCTCCGTACAATTGCACTCATTTCACATGCTAGCAAGGTTATGCTCAAAATCCTACAAGACAGGCTTCAGCAGTATGTGGACCGAGAACTCCCAGAAGTAGAATCTGGATTTTGAAAGGGTAGAGGAACTAGAGACCAAATTGCTAACATGTGCTGGATTACAGAGAAAGTCAGAGAGCTCCAGAAAACATCTACTTCTGCTTCATCGACTATGCAAAAGCCTTTGACTATGTGGACCACAGCAAACTATGGCAAGTTCTTAAAGAAATGGGAGCACCTGAACAACTTATCTGTCTCCTGAGAAATCTATACTGTATGTTGGACAGGAAGCAACAGTTAGAACTGGATATGAATGCAGAACTGGATATGAATGAACTGATTGGTTCAAAATTGGGAAAGGAGTACGACAAGGCTGTATATTGTCTCCCTGCTTATTTAAATTATATGCAGGATATGTCATGCAAAAGGCAGGATTGGATGAATTCCAAGCCAGAATTAAGATTGCCGGAAGAAATATCAACAACCTCAGATATGCAGATGATACCACTCTGATGGCAGAAAGTGAGGAGGAATTAAAGAACCTCTTACTGAGGGTGAAAGAAGAGAGCGCAAAAATGGTCTAAAGAAGCTCAACATCAAACAAACAAACAAACAAACAAACAAAAACTAAGATCATGGCCGCTGATCCCATCTCCTCCTGGCAAATAGAAGGGGAAGATATGGAGGCAATGACAGATAATACCTTCTCGGGCGCCATGATCACTGCAGATGGTGGCAGCAGCCATGAAATTAAAAGACACCTGCTTCTTGGGAGGAAAGTGATCACAAACCTAGACAGCATCTTAAAAAGCAGAGAAATCACCTTGCCAACAAGGGTCTGCATAGTCAAAACTATGTTTTTTTTCCTGTAGTGATGTATGGAAGTGAGAGCTGGATCATAAAGAAGGCTGACTGCCAAAGAATTGATGCTTTTGAACTGTGGTGCTGGAGGAGACTCTTGAGAGTCCCCTGGACTGCAAGGAGATCAAACCTATCTGTTCTGAAGGAAATCAACCCTGAGTACTCACTGGAAGGCCAGATCCTGAATCTGAGGCTCCAATACTTTGGCCATCTCATGAGAAGAGAAGACTCCCTGGAAAAGACCCTGATGTTGGGAAAGTGTGAAGGCAAAAGAAGGGGACAACAGAGGACGAGATGGTTGGACAGTGTCACTGAAGGTACCAACATGAATTTGACCCAACTCTGGGAGGCAGTGGAAGACAGGAGGGCCTGGCGTGCTCTGGTCCATGGGGTCACGAAGAGTCAAACATGACTTAACGACTAAACAACAACAACCCAGCCAGCCCTATCTATAAGGGAAATGAGAGCATCATGCCAGACACCACATTTGGGAGGCAAATTTTTCGTTATTTAATTAACAATGCTTACATTTGCACTCCTGTGAATAGTGGGGCACTTCTGAAATGTTCTGGTTCAGACGCTGAAACAACTTGACAACACATTGACTTGTGTGGGGGTGGGGGAAAGTGTTTACTGTTCAACCTCAGGCAGTGAAACATCTTAGGCCTCCCCTTACAGTTTGACACTGCAGGAACAGAAATGAGGAGCAAGCTGTCTTTCATTTCAGGCTTAGCTCCTTTATGGAGAATTTGTGCAGGGAAAGTGCCCCAGAGGGAGACCACAGCTGTGATACAAGGACATCTGCAAGCGGGATCTGAAGGCCTTAGGAATGGACCTCAACAGATGGGAAACTTTGACATCTGACCATTCAGCCTGGAGGCAGGTGGTGCATTATGGCTTCTCCCAATTTGAAGAGACACTTGTCCAGCAGGCCGAGGCAAAAAGGCAGTCCCGAAAGCAGCAAAATCAGGGAGCTGGACAGGGGACAGATTGTATTTGTCTTCAGTGTGGAAAGGATTGTCACTCTCGAATTGGCCTTCTCAGTCACGCCAGACATTGTTCCAAGTCCTCTATTCAGAGCACAATACCATAGTCTCTCGAGACTGGATGTGTACACAGGATAGCTCCTGTAACTAAGATTTCTCTTAAAGGAAGAAATCCTTGTAAATTTCTAAGAAGCCTGCACAGGACCCCAAAGGAAGTTTGTTGGAAAAGCCACGTTATTTGGAGTCACAGGGGGAAATTTTCTTTTATATATAAAAGCAGAGGTTTAGTTTAAAAGCTTCTCCAGAGGCTGCCCAAATCCCTGACCCCGATGGAGCCCCTATGCTGTATCTTCAGCTAGTGAAAATCCATGCAAAACTATATATGGGTTAGATGCTGGAGCCTGTAGTCACAGACTTGGCACTGTATGCAGAGAGAGAGAGAGAGAGAAATGGACTGGTTAAGCTCTGCCAGGGGTGTCAGGTTGCCTTCTGTATGGGAGCAGCTCCTGGTTTCTGGACAGTAGCTGGCTGTGTGCATGCACACAGAAGCGCCATTCATTGGCACAAGGGCTCGGAGCCTGGCCAGGTGCTAAGAGACAAACTCCCCTGTATGAGATGGGCCAGATCCCCAGCTGGCAGGAATTGCCTGAGCCCCCCTTGGTAACCGGGAGAGCCTTTACTCCAGTCAAAGTTGCGCTTCCCCACCCCCACTGACTCCCTCTTCCACCCCATCATCACAGAGTTGTGGGGGATTGTAGAATATAAAACCTCTCCCTGCGTCTAAGCCTATGCCTCAATTGGGGAACTCAGCCTGGGAGAAGAGCCGCCGCCTCGTAGTCTGGGTAGTCTGGACGGCAGTGGAAGGAAAATGCTCTTTGCCCTGGCTGTCATTGCTTTGGCCCTCTGGCCTCCCTCTGGCTCGGCTGCCAGGAAAAAACCCGAAAGCCCCGTGGAGGACTCTGGTTCCCCATCTGCTCCTGCTCTGATTGTGCCAGCCCATCCAGCCAAAGGCCGAAAACAGCTGGCAGCCGGTGAGCTCATCCTGGGAAAAGGTGTGGCGGAAGGTGAGTGGGGAGGGGAGAGATTGGATGTTTGAGTCAGATGGGGGAAGGGCAATGAAAGAAGAACAGAGCTTGGGAATAGTTAGTTACCTCTTTGGATTACATTGCCCAGACTCCCCTGGCCAGTATAGCAGGATCCATCCCGGCTGGAGCGGGATTCTGGACTTTGTAGTGCCAAAAACATGCACAAATCTCCACACTTTGGAAAAGAGGTACTTTGGAGTTGAAATGGATAGATAATTCACTTCCACACAAAAGCAAATTATACAAAGTGGAATAGCCTGTCACCTCTATGGACAATTCCAGAAAAAAAAAATGAGATGTGAGGCTTGGAAGCTGTATTTTTTAAATTTCCTATCCCATTCATCCTGTCCGTGCTCCATCCTGCCACTCCCAAACGGTGTACATAGACATTCCTCCCTGCCTTCTCATATCTCTGGCCTAAGGGCTAAGGGTCACCACTCATCCAGAAAGTTCAGATGCTCAATATTAGCATTTTACCCTCTGTGACAATTCCAAGCAGCTGTGCAAAGTCAGAAGAGGGTCTTATCTGAGCTGCTTTTCCTGTGTGGTTGCCGTGTACAAGCCATCTTTAGACAACCTGCGATGTAACTTGAGTTGTAGGGAAATGGCAGAGCTTGTGTCTGTTGTACAGTGTACACTCTAAATGTGTGCCACAGGGTATGTGCACCAGGTTACTGTATGGGGGTTTGTACCTTAAAGGAGGAGAGTATGGAAGCCACTGGAAGTTGTTACAGGGTACTTAAGATCATTTAACATGTGTATCAGCACCTCAGCTATTGCTATGGTGCAAACCAAAGAGCAAGTATTTTTTGTGCGCCAGACAAGGAAACTTTTAGGCCCAGATTCATTTCTTAGGCCTGGCATTTGCTGCCAAATGTGTAAAGACGCACCTTTTCCTGGAGGTAGAATTCTATTCCAAACATATAGTACACCTTTTCCTGGAGGTAGAATTCTATTCCACATACCATGGTTGCTTCCACACTCTCTGGAACTGAATGCTTTGTTGACTCATTTGTTATGGGGAATCCTAAAAATGGTTGTTGTAGGTTTTTCGGGCTTTCTGGCCATATTCTTGAGGTTTATCTTCCTAACATTTCGCCAGTCTCTGTGGCCGCCATCTTCAGAGAACAGGAGTCAAACTCTGTGCTCTGGTGCTTTGTGGGATCCCAGCTGTGAAAGCCTTCGAGAACAAATCTTAAAAAATGTTGACATTAAATCATTTTAGGTCAATATACAGTATTTTTATTTTCTCCTTTTTGGATTCCCCATCCCACCCAAGATCTGATTAGTGGTAAGGGGAAGTATGACTGGACAGGATATTTAAAATAAAACGGGGATGCAGCATGCATGGCTATGGATTGGTCACAATCCTCGTATCCTAGGGGTACAAACACTAATGCTTTTTAGGACTCCTGGGACTTTAATTAAAAGTTTTTTTCTTGTAGGGCACTCCATACAATTGTTTCATAATTATCATCATTCTGGAATAGGGGATGAATAGACTTATAATAGCCACTTGAATAGTGATCCTTAAGCTGCTTACTAGAAAGTAAAAACGCACAAAACACAATGTAATCCTATGCATAACACATGCATAGGATTGCACTGTTTTTGCTGCTGTGATGGATTGAAGAGACTAATAACATATTCATCAGCAGCCCCCCCCCCCCCATCAATAGGGAGCAATAAAACAGTCAGGATTTTCATTTAACATTGGCAAGAACTTCCACTGAACGGAACAAACTTGTGAGCAAACATTGCAGAAATATCTTGGCCTTGCTAAAGGGCATTGCTGAATAATAAAGTGCTGTGTTCAAGAGCTGTGTGGCACTTCTGTTTTCATTCTGCTTCCAGTTAACTATGGAAAAGCAGTGCCTCAGCAGTGACGAGAAGCCTGCAGACCCAAAGCCTGAAAAATAAGGATAATTTTGGATTCAGACATCCATGACCTGGTGCTCTCCAGACGTGCTGGTTGGCATAAACCCTGTCAACGTAACCCAGTGGGGCTACTGGTTAGAGATGATAGAGGTTCAAGATATTTGGAGAATGCGGAGTTAGAAAAAGCTGCACTAAAGCAAAGTCAAAAAGAGTGTGCTTTTGTGTATGTATATCCCATGAGATACCAGGATCATGCCTGAGTCACAGAAAGCAGTGTGCTGATATATAAGAGGAAGACATACATGAATAAATTACAGTACACCTTTCAATACTGTGCTTAAGCCTGACTGACCTTCTTACCATCCTGCCCATGGCACTTATTTATATATTTAATTGACTGACTGACTGACTTAGTGGAAACCCCCTGCTCTGGGTGGTGAGCATCATCAATTAAATCCCTTGGATATGCCCAGCAACTGCCCCAAAGACTAATATAGGTGACCACCCAAGACAAAAGCAAGACAAAATAATGTGAGTGGAAGCCCTAAAAAAAAAAACACACACACACAAGCCCTGTGAAGAAAATATACCACAAATTCATGCCAAATACATGGGCAGATGTCTCCCCACCCCAATTTTTCCCCTATAACCTGAAAATGTTTCCCATGAAGTTTGAAAGCTCACATCTATCTATCTATCTATCTATCTATCTATCTATCTATCTATCTATCTATCTATCTATCTATCTATCTATCTATCTATCTATCTATCTATCTATCTATCTATCTATCTATCTATCTCGGTCAGTCGGTCTATTGCTATTGTCTCTGTGTATTATATCTATCTATCTATCTATCTATCTATCTATCTATCTATCTATTTCCCACCTTTCTGGTAAAAAGGGCCTATTTGCAGTCGATCCTAATTAAGGTATTGCCTCCCTGTATATTTTGTATTTTACCCCTATGGATCAACCCAGACTCGTCCTTTTTTGGACTTTCTTTCTAAAGTTTAATGCTTTTCTCAGAAGAGTGAATGGTAACTATTTAACTACACAAGAAAGGATCAGGTGGTATCCTCAGGGCCATCCTTGGTATGGGAGCAGAACTTGCTGCTGGCCACCAATGGCTCCAGCCGTTAAGAAGGACATCCACTCCTGTCTGCTTAGCCAGTCTGGGCTTGAGTCACCTTCTCCCACCCCAATCCCCAACCCCATGACCTGTAGATGCGTCATCATAAGGAAAACAACAAGCATGTCCTGATTTCTCTTTCCTGTTTGATTTTCCAGAGACATCTAAGTCTGGAGTGGGTGTGGAAAGTGTGGCAGGAGAAGAGAAGGTGCCCCACAAACGGAGAAAGTTTTCCATTTTGAAAAACAGTGTCTTGAGGAGGAAAGTGCCGGCCCTCCCACATCTGGATGGCCAAAATCTGGGGAAGGGAGCTGTGACCAAGAAGGAGGAACTGGCCAAACATGGAAAGAAGGTGTTGGAGACTAAGAAAATTAATACTAGCAGCACTGTTGCCAAGCCAGAAATTCCAGGCCCAGAGACAAACTTCAGTGTAGACCAGCCTAGTAAGTATTATTCCCTCCCCAACACCACCACATAGAAGTGTGAGATGGGAGAAGGGAATATGAGCACATATGTCAATAGGCCTACTCTAGTTCTGTTTCTAAAAGCTAACCATCTAATTTTAGTCTACCTCTAAATGTCATCTGGGGGAAGTGAATCCCATTAGATGCAATAAACCTTCTGAGTGACAATGGTTTGCTTCCTTATTAACTCTTATCTACTTCCTTGAAGAGGCTATTGGAATAATTAATTTGGATTCCAGGGGAATGACTTTGTGTATGAGAGTAATGTGCAAGTACCTCATTACTATCCATGAGTTACCTGTAACTAATTCCTTTTCATCAATAATGAAAATATAACCAAGTTACATCACATCTGTAATGGTAATGAGGAGTACTTTCGCTCTGGTTGCAAGTGTAAGGAGCATGGGTTTTTGTTACTGGCTAGTTACAATCTGTGTGTGACCTTACTATTTAGGTAGGTTTTGTACAGGTGCCCAGCAGCTTGTAGCATTCTGATTTTTAAGGTAACTAAATAACAAAAATAAATTATTACTGTAAAATTCTTTTTGAATTGGGAAATTTTACTTTTTTGGACTGTAATGCCCAAAATCACTCGCTATATTTGTGTATTTGTAATTCTGTGAGATGTGGTGCAAAAAAGTAACTCTTCCTCTCTCTGCTTTTGAATAAAGAGAAAGAAAATAGTTTAAAATTGTAACTATAATGGCAACTATTTACTTCTGGGATGCTTCGAACTGTAGTGTAACTCATCCATGTAAAAGTAACTTTCAAAGTTCTGCACTAGGTAAAGGTAAAGGTTCCCCTTTAGTCCAGTCATGTCTGACTCTAGGGGGTGGTGCCCGTTGCAGTCTCCAAGCCACAGAGCCAGCATTTGTCCGTAGACAGTTTCCGTGGTCACATGGCCAGCACGACTAGACACGGAACACCGTTACCTTCCCACCGTGGTGGTACCTATTTATCTACTCGCATTTACATGCTTTCAAACTGCTACGTTGGCAGGAGCTGGGACAAGCGACAGGAGCTCACTCGGTTTCGTAGATTCGATCTTACAACTGCTGGTCTTCTGACCTTGCAGCACAGAGGCTTCTGCAGTTTGACCCACAGCGCCACCACGTCCCCGTCAAAGTTCTGCACTAGGCTCTTGGAAATGTGGAACTGAATGATTCAAGCACAGCAAATTGTTAACCAATCTTAAAATTGTTTTTACTGGACTCGCCTGCCAGGTCTTGCCACCTGGTTTCTCTTTGGAGTCTGATTTTAAATTTCTCCCCATGCGCACTTCCTTACCTTCTCAGCTCTGTAATACCTCCTCTGTTGGACTGTTAGGCCTCAGCCATTGTCCAAGGGTGTCAGGTATTGGATGCTGGAACCAGGTGGGGTATCATAGGTAGCACGCTCCAGCACAGGGAACGTTGTAGGAAGTCACCAGCAGCCACAGGAGAGGAGGCAGTTTCCAAATCCCATCCACAGATGGTAGGTGGGGCATCATAGGTAGCACGCTCCAGCACAGGACACGCAACATTGTAGGAAGTCACCAGCAGCCATAGGAGAGAAGGCAGTTTCCAAATCCCATCCACAGATGGGCTGCATGGAGGTGTAACCACAGAACTACCTTCCTCGTTTCTCTTTCAGCTGAGCGCTTGAATTGTTAGTCGGTCACCTGAGCGGGTATAATACAGGGTCCATTAGGTGCAGCAGAAAAGGACATTTTATTCATTAGTTCCAGTCATATCCCACTTTTATTCCAGGGAGTTTGAGCTCTCTTTCACATTTCTGTCCTCATAACGATCCTCTGAGGTAGATGAGGCTCAAAGCAAATGACTGGCCTGAGGTCACCTGGTGAGTTTCATGGCTGAGGTGAGATTTGAACCTGGGTCCCTCCAGTATTAGTCCAAAATTTTAGCTGCTCCATCACACTGGGTTTTAACCTCTGAGGGTAAAAAAGAGGAAAGCTCTTGGGCACTACTCTGTTTGAATGAACGGGAGCAGTTCATGAACCACGCTGTGATTTTAGTTGAGACCGTCCGGCTGATGGTGCTCTTTGTCAAAAAAGGACCACTAAAGAGGCATTGGTCTCCGTGCTGCTTAGGGAGTGGGGGTGGGGTGGGGTGTTCCACAGGGGTACCGGGGTCTTAAACCAGTCCTGCCTCTTATTGCCTGTACCATCGTGTCCCTGCAGGTTTGATCCATCATGCCAAGAAGAGACCAGTGAAGGGAGATATTGCTACTCACAGGACAAAAGCAAAGCAAGGATATATCATTGTACAAAGGAATGCTACTCAGGCCCAGACCAGAAGAGTGCCAGGTCTTACACAGAGAAATGAAAGCCAGGCACACTCTGGTCTTGCTGATAAAAGTGCAATCAGGATAAAAGAAAGAAAAGAGGCCAGGGTTCTCCACAGCAATGTTAGTCAGGCACTGTTGCCGAAGGAGAACCTTCCTCCCCAAAGACATGCCAACAAACCCTCATCAAGAAGGGATCACAGCATCCAACACAGAAATGCCAGCCATACACTGATGTGGAAGGAGCATCATGTCCTCACAAGGAACAGCACTCAGGCCCAGGGAGCAAAGGAAACCAGGTTTCTCCACAAAAATTCCAGCCGCACCCTAACAGGAAAACAGCATAGCCTGTCCTCCACTAACATCAGTTGGATATCACCAGGACAAAAACAGGTTATATTCCAGAGGAATGGCAACCAGACACAGACAAATAAGAAGTTCAGTCACAAAAATGATAGCCGGGTGCTGGAGGGGAAAAAGCCTGGCACCACACACAGGAATACCAGCCAGGTTGAAGCCAGGAAGGGCCCAATATCTTTCCACAAGAATGCCAGCTGGGCTGTGCCACAAACAAAGCTCACCCCTTCCTTCAAGGGTGCCAACCAGTCACTGCCAAGAAAGAGACACAACACCCACCAAAGGAATATTAGCTGGGCAGAGGTTAACAAGGAGCACAAACCTTCTCAGAGGAATACCAGCTGGGCACTGCCAAGGAAAGACTCCAGTTCCTCCCACAGAAATGTCAGCCGGAAACCAGCGGGGGCAAAATATAGTGCCCCCCACAGGAATAGTGGCCAGATAAGGGCAGAAAAAGTGGCTAGTATCTCATTCAGGCATGCCACCCACACAGAGACTGTGAAAGAGCAAAGACCTTCCCGCGAGAATGTCTTCCAAGCAGGAACACCAAGATGGCGTCTTACAGAACCAAGAGAAAGGGGTGAACCCATTATGCCATCCTTGCCTACAACTTGCCTGCTTTCTGAACATGCTATCGCTTGTGGTAATGCCCGCTTGAAACACGTGCCCAGACTGAGTGATTCGGCACTCAAAACCCTCTATCTGGCAGGTGAATCTCTGAAGGAGGAAAAACATTTCTCCACCACCAATATCCCTTTCCTAGGTTTGCATCCGGTGTAGATTCTATGCTGGCCCCAATGCCAGAATGGCAATGCAGTCCTATACACGTTATAGAGAAATAAGCTCTAATGAGCTCAGCAGGAGTTGTTCCCAGGTAAAAGTGTATAGGACAGCAGTCTTGTTCATTTGCACTCGGTAAACCATTCTGTACCTGCAAAATTTCCATAATGTGCCAGGCCAAATGAAAGCATGCAAGCTTTCAAGATATCCAGATTTCTTTGTTAGAGAAGATGTTAGAAAGAAGGTTGCCCTGATGGGATAGTGGAGTAGGAGGATATCTGATTTGATGCTGAAGTGATGAAATTTGGATGGTCAGAGCCTTAGGAGGAATCTACGTTTGCTTTTTGTATGATTTGTATATTCCCAGCTGTCTTTTTCCTTGTTTGCACAAAGGCTCTGTGAAGCCAGATGCTTGACTTAATTCAATTATTTTGCAGGCAGAGGTGAGGAATCTCTGGTCCTCCAGATGTTTTTGTACCACACTGCAGCTCCCATCACATCTCCCCATTGGCCAGGCTGGAGAGAGACCTTATGGGAATTAAAATGCAATAAACATCTGGAGCAGCAGTGGGTAAATCTGGAGAGTTCTAGGGAGGGTTTTTTCTGATTTTGGAGTTTAAAAACCACATATTACGTTAACTGCTTTTAAAACAAAATAATGCGCTCAAGCAGCCATGCACATTTTTTTAAAAAACGGAACAGTTGGAAGTGTGATTTTTAGGGTGGTTGCAAAAAGGGGGTGGGAATTGCATGTATTGCACAGGCCTCATGTTGCCATTCTTGATCTATAGGGTTACAGTCCCCACTGATAGCCCGTAACAAGTCCGACATCCATCAAGCCGTGGTTTGGACAGTCTTCCCTAGAGCACTAATCCAAAACCTGAAGAGGGATCTCAGGTCATTGTACACTTCCCTTCCTATTAATCTTGTAGAGGCTTCTCTTTAGCATCTTTTACCCTCCTTCTTGTCTGCCTTCCAGAGAATGAGATCACCAGTATCCCAGCTGGGATTTTCCTGGGACTGCCTAACCTAGAATGGTTAGATCTCAGCAAGAACAAATTGGATTCTGAAGGCTTGCACCCAGGAGCTTTCAAGGTCAGTAAAAAGGAAGCGGCCTGTAAACTGCGCAGGAGAATTCAAATTGGGAACAGCTACATTGGAAAGGAGAGCCATTGGCCCTTGGGAAAGGTCAGGGGCTACTTCCTGTGATGGGTGAAGCCAGAGTTGCTGGTGGACAAAGTCCATGATACTGCAAGAACCCAGTGTCCTCTTTCTTTCTTTTTCTGCCACTTCATCTCTCATTCTTCTCCCTTCTTCCTTCTCTCTCTATCACACTATCTGACCCCCTTGTAGCACTCCATCTCTTCCTCTCTCTTTTCCCCTCCCCTCCACCCCCAGACAACATAAAGTTAAGCCAAATTTTACACATGCTCTGTAGGCCATACATTCCAAAAGCTAGGCCGATATCTGCTGACAGTAAAAGCGAAATGATTTTGCATGTTTGTCATCACCAGCCACTGCAACTGAAGGGTTTGTCTACAACAGTCCTTTTAGAGTGGGTTGGTACTACCTAAATAGGATATTGACAAATTGGACACTTCCTCTGCTCCTCAGTGGAGGAGGCAGGAGAAGTGATTTTTTTTCTAGACTCTTGTTGACCATCACTGATTCCCTGCACCACTTATAAAAACAATTTAAAAAATATCTTATTTCCTTTTTCTTAAAGGACCGTTTAAGAAACTGCTTATAGTAGAATCCATGGAATTAGTTGTGGGCAGTTTCTTGACTGGCTCTTCAGACAAGACAAAGGAAATATTTAATTTTTGTAAACATAATGCAGCACATCAATGATGATCTATTACAGTTTTTTTAAAAAAGGATGGAGAAGAGGTTGAGTTTGCTGATATCCTGCAGAGGCTCGCTTATTAAACCTCTTCATGATGTGGCAGATTGACAGTCGAGGGAGCCTTGACAGCTCTGAAAAACTGCAAGGCTTGCCTTTGGTCCATTACTTTGGCAGTCACATGAGCTAGAAGTTGCAGTTTTGCTCAGAAAGGTGTGGGTAGGAACACTGTGGGAACAATCTGGTTTGCTCCAATGATCACATTGTGTGATTGCCAGAAAAAGAAGTGAACCAACCCGTCCCCACAGCAGACCAAAGAGTGGGACAAATGCCTGTCTAATTACCCTCAGAAATTGGATGAATTGCTGGATAGCTCAGTGGTTTAGGTATGACAGGGGTTGGACTTGATGATCCATTAGGGTCCCTTCCAGTTCTGCTGTTCTAAGTTGTTGATGGCTGTTGTCACTGGAACATCTTTTCCCCATACAGGACCTCACCAAGCTAAAGCGCCTGAATCTGGATGGGAACCAGCTGACCAAAATCCCAGCCCTACCCAGTTCTCTACAGGAGCTAAAGCTGAATGACAATAATTTGGAAGGTCTGCAGAGGCACAGTTTCCAAGGTAGGACACTCAATTTTTAAAAAGGGATTCTTCTTGAAATGGGGTCCTTGTGAACTCTGTGTATGCCAGAGGCGCTCACTCCTGTGTGTCAAAATTTATCTCGACCAGGAGTGGTGTTCTGTTAATTCAGCCTCCATTTGTACCCACCCTTTCGTGGGAGATATCTTGTGTTTCTTATGGTGGAATGCACTGCATTAAGACATAGAGATTTTTTAGTGTACTGTCAAACTTGGCAGGTGTTTCACTATGCAGGAGAGCATTTCTTTTGCTCCAGGTTCAGAAGGAATCAGTCCCATTAGCTATAAAACTATTAGACTGGCTGTGACATCCGCCCAGATCATGAATATTCATATACTATCTGCATTGGCCAATGGGAGTGCTGGAGGGGCGGAGTCATGAGATATAAGAGACTCAGCAGGAGGAGGGGAGTTTAGATAAGGCGTTTTGGAGATCGAGAGTGAGTTGAGGAAATCGAGAGTTTAGAGAGTTTTCGAGTTTGGGCAGGAGAGTGGTGGTTGAGAGTGGATGAAGGAGGATGTCTCTTAAGAGTTAATAACATAGCTTGATGTATCTACATTTGTAGCAATAAACAGTCTCTATTTAGTTCTTTTAAAATGACATATTAATCAACTAGTGGCGGCTGAGGAGCACGTAGTGTGAGCTCTTAGTTTGGTAGGGAAAAAAACAGGCTATGTGGGGACCATGATAATGGCAAAATATTTTTCTGAGACCAATTGCATGATTACTTTAGATGGCACGTTGTAGTTCTTTTATTTCTTAATGTATTAAATCATTTTTATAACTAGAAGATGCTCTATTGTTTTAATACTTGGTTTACGTATTATTGTTTTACAGGCTGTTATTGTTTTTCATTGTTTAAATACTTGGTTTTTGTCTTCTGTTGCTGATAGTATTTTATAAACTATATTTCTTTTAATTTCTTGCTGCTTACTATCTTCAGACATTTAACAGGAAAAGTAGAATATATGTATTTTTTAAAAGAAATATTTTGTTTTCATTAGAGATATAAAAGCAATAGCTGACATTGTCATTGGTGGTCCTTGAGAAATCCCAGATTTTATGGCATTTTAATTTTAAAAAAGTGCCCTCTAAACGGAAAAACAAAAACAAAAACAAAAACAAAAGCTGTAATTTTTAAAAAGTGCCATCTAAACGGAAAAACAAAAAAAAAACAAAAAAAAAAACAAAACAGCAACAAGACAAGCAAAAAATGTGTGCCCCAAACTTAGGTCTAATTGTAAAAAAAGTATCTGTTTTGTTTCGCCTGCAAGAATATAAAGAAATGCCCTGCAAAGACTTTCTTGCTAGGTGTAGAGAAATTAAGGGTGGTTGGAAGGGTCTAGTTCGAGCTTAAAAGCTTCTTATCTTTAGTGCAGTCTACAGTATTTTAATTCTTACTTGAGTAATCCTTCTGTCCACAATAATTGACTTCTTTCACCTGTGAGAAGGGTCCAGACAGGCCTTTGGATTGCTCCAATTTCTCCCCATTTTGGTTGATGATACTCCCCTTCCTGTGCCCTTCCCTGCCTTTTCCATGGCTGCCATTCAGCTGGCTGTGGTGACGTTCCTTTTTACTTTTCTGATAAATAAAGTAAGTGACATAATGCAACAGCAATGCATCAAACATGGAAAATGAAATAGTGAAAGATTTTGTATAACTTGTTTCAATCGTCAATCCAAATGGAGACTGCAGCCAAGAAATCAGAGATTCAGAAGGGCAACAAAGAAGGAATTAGAAAGATCATCAAGTGTAAGGATGAGTCATTCAAGAACAAGACCATCCACACTCTTGTATTTCCAGTCACCATGCGTGGGTGCGAAAGCTGGATAGTAAAGAAAGCTGGCAACAAATAAATGATTTATTTGAAATGTGGTGCTGGAGGAGAATTTTGCAGATACTCTGGATGGTCATAAAGATGAACATGTGAGTCTTAGTGCAAATCAAGCCTGAACAATCTCAGGAGGCAAAGATGATGAAATTGAGGCTGTCTTATTTTGGGCACATCATGAGACGCCAACATTCTCTGGAAAAGACAGTAATGTTGGTAAAGGTTGAAGATAGCAGGAGAAGAGGAAGACTGAATTTGAGGATTGACTCCCTAAAGGAAGCTACAGGCTTAAGTTTTCAAGATCTGGGCAGACCTGTTGAGAGAAGAGATTTTGGCGATCACTCCTTCATATGGTCATCATAAGTCAGAGGTGAGTTGGCGGCATTTAGCAATGACAACAACAACATATACATTCCATCTTTCCTCCATAAACCTTGACGGGGTGTTCTTACTCCTCTGTGCTGCCTGCTTAGCCTCACAATAACCCTATGAGGTGGATCAGACTAAGGAACAGCCCTTAGCTCAGGTGATGCAGTGGGCTCCATGGCTGAGCAGCCATTTAACTGGAGTTTGACATTCTAGCCACTGCGCTGCTTTGCCTGACATTCCAAGGACTAACCTCACATTGCCTTTCAACAAGCACTCTCTGCCTCCAATTAAATCTTTATAGAAAAATGATTTACAGATACATATTGCTTGTGCAACCTAAAACAGTACACACATGTTGTCAAGATGCAGAGAGTAATAAAATTACATAATAGGAGGTGCAGTTCTGTCAAGATAGCTTGTGTTGCTAACAGCATCCACATGTCTAAGTAACCCCAGACCAGAGCACAGACAGAGTTCTGACTCCTGTCCTCTGAAGATGCCGGCCACAGAGACTGGCCAAATGTTAGGAAGAACAACCATCAGAACACGGCCAAAGAGCCTGAAAAACCCACAACAACCGTCTAACCTCAGACTATTGCACAGACATGCTGAAATCAGGCGGTGGTAGAAAAAGGGGTGCCATGCACAAAATATTCCCTTGGTTGCAACAAAAGTAAATCTGGTTGAATTGGCACCTCCCTTGCCATTTCCATGCCCCCAAGCACAACCTAACTCAACCCAGCCCAAAGCCACTCTTCTGTGGCATGTAGGTGGACCCTATGTCCCATGCAGTGGGCACGTTATGCCCTTTTCATGCTAACCAAATAAAGCTAACCAATCACTCCAGATGCGAGTCCTGCGATGCCCCCTCAAGACTCAGTGGCCGAGGAGTCCCCCAACAAAAATCCCATGGGTTTCAACCTGGTTTGGTTACTCACAACAGTTTTTTTAAAGGCACAGAGTCAGCTCCTACTGCCACTTTCCCCATGTTTCCAGGGGCTTGAGTTGCTGTCACTAGTCCTCGAGGCACAGTCAGTCAGTCAGGCTGGAGCTCCAGTTGATTTCACAGGGGTCCCCAATCCCAATCTGGGGCACAGTCCTTTTAGGGAGAGCTGCTGAAGGCGAATGATGGGGCTCTGCAGCACTCCTCCTCCTGGAGCCTCCTTTGCCACACCTGTAGTCACTTGCATCTCAGTGCTGGCACTGGCTGGAATAGGCTCCACAGCTCCTCTTGTACAGTAAGGACACCCAGGTGGGTCGGTGCTGGATCAACTGGGGGCTGCGTTGCCAGAGCCTCTGTTCCCCAACCCCTTCCATGGCTGAACTGGCTGGGCAGGAGGAGGTGGCGCCCTTAGTTTTCTCTCTCTCTGTTGGCAGCTCTGCAGAGGTGCAGAAAATGGAGTCTCCGTTCTTGATTGCCTCTTCCTATGGCTCCCCTTCATCTGATGTGGATGACCATGATGATGACCCTGAATCACTGCAATCCCCACCCTCTTATTCCTCACCATCCAACCCTCCTCTAGCTATTCTGCCTCAGTTGGTGGCCCTTCCTCCACTTGGGGCAGTGCATCCCCTCCACCTAGGGGCCTTGCTGTTTCCCAGGCTCACCTGGGCTTGTGGGGCAGGGTTGGACAACTTCCTGGAGGGACTTGAAGTGACCCCCTCACAACTGACATCAGGAAGCCCGAGTTACTCTAGCCTCATTCATTGTCTCTGGCAGGGTGGGCAGCTGTGGCCCTTCTTTTGATTCTGGGTTGTGGTTCCTCTGCTCCCTCACCAATGTTGAGGCTGACTGCTGGAGGGATGATCAGAGTTGTAGGCCAAAAAAACATCTGGAGAGCCACCGCTATCCCCTCCTGCTCTACAAATGAAATGTGTGTGGGTTGGTTCCTGAGCAGCTTGTTAAGCAGCTGATAAATGGTTTGTAAACAGGAAAACGAAAATTCACATTGGACTTACTGTGAGCAAGTTCTTTTTTTGCTTCCACCTCATAGAGGCCCTTTGTTTCTGCTCCTCTCTCTGGAGGAACTTACAGTGAGGAAGGGAAGGAAGTATGAAAATTGTGCTGAATAATATTATTTGCAGGATTCAGATGTTTTGTTTTGTTTCTTCCCCAGAGTATCAGCTGGGGACATTTTTATAATCAGATTACCAATGCCTTCTTTTAGCGGACTTTGCTCCTGCTTTTTCTCACCAGGCCAACTGGGAGAAGTACAACAGGTGAAGATTCCCTCACCTCCTTGACAAATCCTGCATGCCAAGCAGAAAATCAAAGGCATAAGAGCAGGGGTAGGAGTCCAATGGAGGTTTGAACTCTGTATAACCAGCATTTAAACATGTATTTAACCCATTGTGGATCAGCCAGTACTGTATTTGAATTATGAAGGCAAAAGGGACTGTGGCTTGTTTGTGTGTGTTTGTGCCAGCAAATATATATACAGTATATATGTGATAATGTATAGCATGATATATTCCGGTTATCCCAAGCTATAAATATATACATAATAATGGAATTATTAATTTCTTAACTTCTTAAGAAATTAATAATATAATTTTATATATATATATAGAATTTATATTATTAATTTAGGACTCCTGTTTTTTGGAAATAATAGGCAATGGAAGCATGATATGGTAAAAATTGGGAAAGTCAGGGAGTGAGGACTGTGAATTTCATTAAGGGTTCATTAAAATTCTACCTGGGGTAGTGAAAGTGAAAAGAAAAAGTGCTAAAGCAGTTGAACATTAAGAAGACAAACATCAGAAGAATTGCACAACTTTAATGTCAACAATGAGACAGAATGGTTTCTTCTGGCAAAGGAGTCAGACAAGGATGCATTTATCCCCTTATCTGGTCAGTCTGTATGCAGAACATATCAAATGGAAAGTCAGACTAGATTCAGATGAGGGAGTGGAAATTGGTAGAAAAAATATGACACCATGTTTCTGGCTGAAAGCAGCAAGGACTTGAAAGAACTTTTATTGAAAGATGAAGAAAGTGCCAAAACAGGACTGCAGTTGACTATGAAGAAGACAAACATAGACTACAGAAGAACTACACAACTTTAACATTGACAATGAAGAAACTGGAAAGGATTTTGTATATCTTGGTTCAATCATCAATCCAAATGGAGAATGTAGCCAAGAAGATTGAGTCTCAGAAGGGCAGCAATGATGGAATTAGAAAAGACCATCAATTGTAAACATGTGTCACTGGAAACCAAGACTAAGATCATCCACACCATTGTATTTCCAATGACCAGGTATAGGTGTGAAAGCTGGACAGTAAAGAAAGATTACAGGAAATTAAAAGTTGTTAGGCATCCTTCAGTCTCGAAAGACTATGGTGTCGTGCTGTGTATGGAGGACTTGGAACAGCGTCTAGTGTGGCTGAAGAGGCCAATTCGAGAGTGGCAATCTCTTCCACACTGAAGACAAATCCAATCTGTCCCCTGTCCAGCTCCCTGGTTTTGCTGCTTTTGTGACTTCCTCTTTGCCTCGGCCTGCTGGACAAGGGTCTCTTCAAATTGGGAGAGGCCGTGAAGCACTGCCTGCCTCCAGGCTGAACGGTCAGATGTCAGGGTTTCCCATCTGTTGAGGTCTATTCCTAAGGCCTTCAGATCCCGCTTGCAGATATCCTTGTATTGCAGCTGTGGTCTCCCTCTGGGGCGATTTCCCTGCACTAATTCTCCATACAGGAGATC